GAACCTAGCCCTTTAATTGGACTGACAACATTGGTAGTGCCAAATCTAATTAAAGAACATTTCCTTGTGAAATTCAAGGGAAGATAATGGGATGAAAAACGAATCTGTAGAGTCACCAGGGAGCTTTTAAGTTATCCCGGCAATACTGAAGCAAACAAATACTTGTCTATGTCTGAACAGAATCTGCGCCTGATCATAATCATTCTGACTGCCCATTGACAATTACATCAAATATGTAAGCTAGCTTAAGGGCTAAGAGGGGTCTATCAACGGGCCTAGTGAGTCCCACTCTCCACACATTACCGATACAGATATCTATAAGAAGTTTTTATGGATACTTTTTCACGTTTGTTTTTACAATTTATTTTAAGTAATAGTATCTGTAAAATTGTCTTAGGTTGTCATTGTAATATTTACACAAATAAACATTGGTTTAACAACCAAGAAGTCACCAAACTACCAAACGCGCATAAACACAGGGATAGAAAATTAAGATAAAATCAATCAAATAATGTACTATTTCCATCGGTTTTAAGATACCTACTAACCACTTTGCTGATTTAGTATATAAATAACTTTTATTTCACAAAGTTGTTTGAATGAATTTAAAATAAATATAAAAATGATCTTTAATTTACTGAAATTTCTCTTCATTTTGTTTAAATTGATTTAACATTTCCGATTGAATCAATATATTATAGAATCTAGTAGAAAAGCCAATCAAAATTTTCTTAAAGGAGCCGTTAGTATTTATATGATTTTTTATTTATGTACATTCCACCGGTAGCTTTCGTAAGTAAACACGTTAATTTACTTATCGGATAGTGTAATAGAAATAATTGTGACTATCTATAGTTATTAATAAGTTTGTGTGAATAAAGACTTTCTGATACTCAAACAAATATCAAACTTAAATACGTAGCATCTGACCAACAAATAAAAACCTTCTCCCGTATCATGGAATGCTCTCAGAGAGACCAGTTACACAGCATCTATGCTAAAGAAACATAGCTTAAATAATAATAATAATAATAATAATAATAATAATAATAATATAATAATAATAATAATAATAATAATAATAATAATAATAATAATAATAATAATAATAATAATAATAATAATAATAATAATATAATAATAATAATAATACTCTCCCTAATTCACCCCCTTACGAGTGAATTTCAACCCCTGAAGTCGACTGAACGACTTGTGTAGGGGAAGGGACGGCTATAATTATTATTTGCCGTAGCGCTCCGGGGCGACTTAAAGATGATTGATGGTGCCATTTGACTTACAGGTGAGGAAAACCCGGAAAACCTCACCCACCATCATCGAGACGGTAATGTATGGCGAATTTTTTTAATCTGCATGTCATATCAACAGAATTGAATTTCTATTAATACGCCACACATCAAATCCTAAACCGAACCCTGCAATTTAATTAAAAATCCACATGGTCCGGTCTGGTATTCGAAACCCAGCAGTCTCAGACTCATAAACTTGCCTATAAATGAATATAAGCGCGATAGACCGCTACACCACCGTCCCGAGACCGCTACACCAATAATATAACTGACATGATATTAGCCTTGGATCCAGTGACTTAAAATTCCATCGTATATATCCTACAATAAGTCATCGAATACTAAATTGTCGCCTATCAAAATATCCAAATTACCTTTACATTAACACTGATGCGTCCAAACAAAATAGTGGAGTTGGATGTGCATTATTCATTCCCTCTTTAAATATTAAAGCACAGTATAAATTAAATGTATTTACCTTAATATTTTCGGCTGAAGCCATTGGGATTATTCAGGCACTAGAATATGCAGAACATCATTTGTCCTCAAAGCTATTCTATCAAGTTAAAAATACATATCAACAAACTAAAACAAATACAGTTTGATATAAAGTTCTTATGGGTAAAGGCATATATTAGGATACATTTTAATGATACAGTCGATAAACTAGAGAAAGAAGCATCGATCCTGATCAAATTCTTAAAAATAATATTAGCATTGACAAATGCATAAGTCTTTCTGGAAAGAAGTTAAAAGAAGGATGGAACCTGTACTGGATTCAATATTATAGAATTAAACCAACCCTTTACACCCTACTCCACCCCGTTATACCTAACAAGTTGTGGCATTAGAATTTAAAATACCCAGAAATAGTATTGTAACGATCAGTAGAATCAAACTTGGACATGCCTGTTATCCTTATCACTCACACAAAATTAAAGTTATAGACTCCAACCTTTACGACAGTTGTAGTGTGATTAGTGATTTGGATCATATATGTTTCAGTATAACATACAAACGTAGCAACTTTTTAGCCAGCTACTAGCAAATGGTATTTTAGCCCTATTTAACCTTTTGTCGCTGAACGATTCATCAGTATATATTGGGTTCTGTTAACCCAAATAGTTTACAGCCTTTCTTAACCGAGGTCCTCTTAATCTGCGTGATAGTCACCTTGATAGACCCCTGGATGTGAAACGTGTCTACCTAATTCCATACTCCTTGTTTTGGGGGCTTTCTTTTTATGGAATAGATAGGGTTAATAGACAGGTAAAACTTAATATTATTGATTCTGGCTAAATGCAAAACATATCCAACGCCCACAAAAAAAATATATTTATGTAGCAATAAAAATAGTAAAAAATTAAAAGTTCCCATTTTAATAAAAACAGAATAAAGTTATATGTTTTTGATCCTTGTTTTCTGTTTTTGATAAAAGCAAATAAAATTAATGTCATCTAATACGAATTATTAAATCAGTTAACAAAATCAAACCTACAATCTCATTTTTCGTGCCATCAAAATATAAATGATTTAAAAACTGAAATTTGAATTATTTCTATTTACACTCCAATCCTGTACGATAAAACCAAAGACATACTCGATTCAACTTTGCAGCAACACTTTCTAACCAGTTTTGCAGTTTTTCTAATTAGATCTTAAATACCAACAAAGGTCGCTCAGTGATATATTGGTCACTGATACGAAACTAACGTTAGATATCGGTTTCAAAACAATAGATGGGTTGCATTTTGCAGCACACTTCCTCGAGCTTTCAATTTGAAATTTGAATTTGTAACAAGTCATAAAGTAAACAATTGCGACAAACATTGCTATTAAAATGATTACATTATTAATAAAGACACTCACAAAATCGGGTCACTTGGCCAATTGCAAATATATTTATTATAGACTAATAAACGAGAAGAACAACTAAAGGCGAACAATTTGCTTCGGTTGTGACTTTTCTAGGAGGTATAAACAACTCAATTGCTGAGAAAATTAAGATAAACTCTAAATCGCAGTTATTTCTTCTTTGTCTCTTTTCGCTAAGTCATGTCAGGGGTAGAATTCTCGAGCCTCGCATGAAAATTGTCGCACACGGCAAATGTCGCATACCAAATTCCTATGGTTGTTAAAAATACATATTTAGGGGTGCGTTTAAACCTATGACGCCGGGGTTTTAGAAAACTGAAATTTTCAGTGAATGTAGACGTGAAGTACCTGATTAAATCCCACTTAGAATGTGGCACAAATAGCCGTTTCCTCATAAAAGAAATAATAATCTTTTAGGGGTGCTTTTCAACCTATGACGCCGGGGTTTTAGAATACCGCTATTTTTAGGAAAAGTAGTCGTCAAGTAGCAGATTAAATTCCAAATAACCAGAATGTGGCACAACGCATAATTTTCTCGTAAAAAAATAATACATATTTAGGGGTGCGTTTAAACCTATGACGCCGGGGTTTTAGAAAACTGAAATTTTCAGTGAATGTAGTAATGAAGTATTTGATTAAAACCCACTTAGTCAGGATGTGGCACAAATCGCAGTTTCCTCATAAAAAAATAATAATCTTTTAGGGGTGCTTTTTAACCTATGACGCCGGGGTTTTAGTATGTCGAATACCTCGATTCGTATGCAAGATTAGTCAAATGTCGAATAGCAACTAGGTGATTTTAAAAAGTGTATTCTCGAACACAGGATACTACAAATGTCAGGTGAATTCAACACGAGTGGTCTAAAGGGCTCGAATTTAAATTATTATGCGACTTTATGGACCGTAAATATGGATGAGGTAGATTTTGATAAAATTAACATTTGTTGGCTGTTGAAAATCAAAATATTATTAAAGAATGACAGCATAGAAGGAAGAAGTTTATTTATAAAAATCCATTTGGAATTAATGATGTGTTATAGTGTTATTTATCAAGCATTTTCAGGGCCGTGCGGTCCTTGGAAGCTTCCCTACACTTTGATATTTAAAAAAATATTTTTCAGTTTACAATGCATAGAAATTAATATTAAATTAGGTAATATATTTTCTCTAAAACATTAGGTAAACTTCGTAAATGTACTAACAATTCATTGGTGTAATGTGTAAACGCACGAGAAAATTAATTGTGTAAACGCACACACCATATAGGTACTTCAAGTCCGTCGGCGGAAGCGCTTCTTGAAAAAGCCGGCTCATCTTCCAATTGATTTCGCTTCGTGTTATTGACCCTGCTTTGCCGCAATATAGTAGTCAGTCTGTTTGGACACGTGAAATACGGTCTAGAGGTAACGATTTTTACGTCGCCTTACGCATATTGCAATTCGCACCGCGAATCGACGTGTGAGGAAAATCGTAGACTTCAGATAGATTTCGGTTTGTTTTTCGTAGTTGTTTTGTTTTTGTAAAATGGAGGAACTATGCACTGTGTCTGTGAACAATAATAATGTGGTAAATTGTGTCTGTATTGTGTGTTCTTTATTGAAAAATGGATTTTCAAGTAGAAATTTTGAGGAGAAAACGGACATTATTAATTCTAGTAGTAGAAAAGTCAGAAAATAATTTACCAGGCATTTTCACGTAGGGTTCTATGAAAAGTATGAATGGTTAACCGGCTGCAAAACTTTGAAGAAATTGTTTTGCTGGCCTTGCCTTCTTTTTAATATAGCCGAAAAACACATTGGAACTCAGTCGGTATTACAGACTTGAATAATTTCCACAAAAGGGTAAAACGACATGTAAATAGCAAATCTCATATAAGTGCTACAATTAAAGAAAAACCATTCGATAATATTAAAGATTGCAAAGTTTTCTTTTCGACGCTTAATGGTTTGGCTTCCTTCTTTTCAAAGTCATCGAAAAGAACTCGTGCTTTGGACATTCACGTTCAAAAATGGTTTCCAAAAGTTGCTCCGACGCGATGGAACTACAATGGACGTTTAGTGTTTCAATACCGTGATTCTTTGATACACTTTTTTCAAGACGTTTGGGATAATAAAGAAACATGGGATGTTGAAACTGTTACTGCTGCTAAAGGGTATGTGCATTGGCTCAAAAAAAACTTTCATTTCAAATTTTTGCTCAACATTTTTGCAGAGATTTTCCCTTTTACTGACATTTTCTTCGACATTTTACAAAGTCAAATGACATTGGCTTTTGCATTAAAAAAATTGATGATTTTAAAAGTAAAATCAATAACGAACACTTTTGGAATAAGACTCAAAACATTGGCTTAAAACCTGAAAGAAAGAGAATTAGAATTGATAATGTTGGCGTCGTCGATTATACGCCGAAATTTTTAATAATATTTTACAACAAATGAACTCTCGATTTCAAAACTTTAACGAATTAAAATTTGTTGAATTGTGCAATTTTAATATTAGTAACTACGATTCATCAAAATTTCCATCGGAAGATTTTAATTCACTAAAATTAAATTATGGAAATTTTTTCAATATTCCAGCATTAAAGTCCCAGTTAAGTTTTTTCCTATAACAACTGGTTTAAATAAGTTCCTTTGTGAAGTCGTCAAGTTGTGTGAATTAGTACTAACGATCCCAGCCACAAGTGCGTCAGTTGAGCGAAGTTTTTCAGCTTTAAAGACATCCTAGTGGAATCTTTCACCCTATGGGCTTCTAAGTTTTCGGGAAAACAGTAACTAAGGAAGTATCAATATGAGTTTTGCAAGTAAACCTGACGAGATGTAATTTTTTAAATTGTTTTCCTGGTTTCAGTGACAAAATCGTATGCAATTTTTTGTTTGCAGACCTGTGATAATTTTCTTTCCAAAAATGTTTGTTACACTCTGACAATTTATTTCAACAAGGTGAATCTTCATGGTTGCGTCAGTAAACTACATATCACAGAAAAGTTGAAAATTGACAATAATTTGCTGTGCTGGATATTTTCTAAGAACAATTTTATATAGTTTTCCAAGAATTTTCCTAGATGTTTACAAACTTTTTATGTATTTTTTAAAATTACTTGAAAGCATTTTAATTTCTTCAAATACATAATAATTATAATAAAAACTACTACTTCTATCAATTATTTTTAAATTGAAATATAACTCTCATTTTAATTTAATTGCATTTAATAAATTAAACGATCCGTTACGACTATATTAATTGATAAATCAATATTTCGTTCGCATAATAAAATTTCAGATAGATATAAACATCATTGGTCAATACCTACTACATACAAAATTTTAATATTTAAGTAGATATTTGATATATTAATGACCATTTCATCAACACTAACAATTATTTATACATAACACCATTGTTTAAAGAGTAGAGATAGTTAGTCAACGCGTGTATAAATTCTGTTTGATTACCTTCCGCACCCTCCCGGCATAAGGAGATGGGGCCCTACTGGTGGAGAGAAGCCGAAACTGTTAATTGATCTGTTTAAAAGTAGAAATCTATCTTTATACAATAACGCCTACTCAAAATATTCTGAGAGTAGGCTTTAGTTGCCATGTTGGAAAGGTTACGGAGTAAGAGAATAAGTTTCTAAGACTTGTTACGAGGGGTAGTGAAAATGTTAAATCAAAATAACAGTCTATTGATATTTTGCAATGTATTTTATTTATACGATTTTTAAGATAAAAATACATAAATTACTCACTACAGTATCCATAAATAACAAAAATAATTTAATACCCTAATTACTATAGTAAGTACAAAGAGGCAACAACACCTATCATCAAACGACAAAAAAATAAGAAAAATAACAAAGCAATAACGGTTATTAGATAAATTTAGAGATACAACAGAGAACTGAATTTTGAGAACAATTTGTGTTTTAAAAGGTTTATTAAAAAGTGGGTTTTTACTCTTAAAGTTGAAACATTTAAAACCAACACAAGTCAAAATGTTTTAATAAGTAGAACGATTGCAATGAAACAATTTATATGAGCTTTGATTGTTAATGACGTATTTGTCACGTATTTGTCAAAACATTTCGTATGTTTTAGAAGTTGGTTTTGGTTATAAGTTAAGTTTTAGC